TCCACATACGCATAGCCCACGTCCTCACACTCCAGGTCCTGGCTCTCTTCCAGGGGCTCACTCACAAGAGTGAATCGGATTCTGGAAATGATTGTGCAAATCACTGTTAAATTGCTTTGTTTTAATACCCTATGCAGTTGTGGGCATTTCCTTTCTCAAATTTCCCACAGATCTGTGTAAGTTTCATCACAGCAATAACAATTAACAAAAACTCAACATGTTGTAAGTATAGCTGGGAGGTGTGGGAAAAGGTTATCCTAAGTCGTCCCTTAAAATACTGACGTCGTGATTCCGACTAGCAGAGTGCTTATGACCACGCAAGCCTGACAACATGAGTTAAACAGTCGATTCTCGTTGTTACGAAATCCACGGGACCAAGTAGAAATGTTCGTTGTATCTGAAATTTGTTATAGGTGGAATGCAGTACAACGGCTTTGGTGCATTGTTGTACAATGCCACGTACATGTACATGCATATGCACGTGTATGCATGTATGTGCATACACGTGAACGCGTAGTTGATGTTATTTATAAAAAAAATCTTAGTTACAATGATTCAAATATACATGTATTGTGATGTGTTTAGAATGACAAAATTCACTGTCATTTGAAAACATGTTTAATTTGCATGAGAGATTTAAAAAAGCAAATACAGGTAACAGGAATTTTGTACAATGCTTTTTTGCTGCAACAGATTTTTTCCCCATAGAAATGTGCACGTTTTCATCGGGACCACAGACACGCGGAATTTCGTAATAACGAGAGTCGACTGTAGTCACCAGAGCCACTTTAGAGGTTAAGGGCTTTCCAAAGAATCCTGTACTATGTTGATCAAAAGGAACTCTCCACATTTCTCAAGCACATAGCGTCCATTTTCAACAGGATGCCAAACCGAGTGCTACAATAAAGGAAAGAGCACAGGTTGCACCTCCTGATACAAACTAACACCAAATTTATAGCAAAAATATGGCTCAAAGGCTCATTTTTACAATATCCTTGTTTTACAGAAAAGGGGTCATGGGTCAATGCAGTGGCCTCAACCATTACTACAGGATTGAGGGGGGGGGCTCAGGTTTTGGTCCAGATGTACTTACTTTCCTTGTGTGACGTCATCCGGGTGCAGCATGCTGACCAGGTAGTCCCTTTGAAGTTTGTTGTTCTCAGCATCCACGTGAAACACTGAAAATGAAAGAGATATCAGTAGGTCTACCTTCTCAAAGAACCCGATTTCACATTGAGAGCTTAGATTCAGAGTTGATAAAACTAAGAAAAACAAACCATCCTAAATAACAAATGTTACCATGTTATGTCAAGGTAAATAATTTAATACTTGACTGATTAACCAGATTACTTCAGTTTCCTGTTTTGAAAAAAGCAAAATCAAAAATTAAAAAATTCACAACAAAAAGTGTTCAGTTACCAAGAGATGTTCAATGCCTACTAAACTTTTCAATGCTGCCGAATTTTGGGGTCAAATATTTGCTCATGTGAAATAAAAAAATCCTGTGCACAGAAAAATGACCAAAAGTGTAACAAATATGTTTACTTCTTTGGATGGAAATGTGAAGCAATCTTCCGTTAGAAAAGAGAATTCAAAAGGAAGCCCCCCCCCAAAAAGCGGTGAAATAGTTTGCTTGAAGACTGAGCACAAAGACGTTGATGGTGAACAACCCTACCTTTCTTGAAGTTGTAGACAAGATTGTGATATGCCTTGGGTTTGGGCAATGAGAACGGCGTTTCGGTCTCCTCTCCGGACAAGCCCAGGAAGCGGTACTCAACGTACAGTCTCTGGATGTTAGCATCGTCGATCACTGCCGTGTCTGGTTCCAGACTCAAGTGGAATATGGTCACCGACACCGTGTTCTCACTCTGGCAGTTCAAATATACAACACAACTCTACATCAGGTTTACTTATCTAACACACAGGAATCCAAACTAGCAATCCAACAAACAAGTCAAGTTTCACTGTTTACAAACAGAATGGGGTTGGTACTTTCCACTCAGACAAACACCAGCGTGTTTGATTCAAGGCAACCTTTGCACTCTGAAAAGGAAAGAAAAATACTTACATTACTGAGTTCTAGCGATCTCTCTGGTGAGAGTAAAAACCTTTGAAATTCTTTCTGAGCTATTTTGGGGCAGGCCACAAAATGAGGAGATCTGAATCGGCGTCTGCAGAGCAATGCCACAGGTTCTTGACTCACCGCAGCTGCCGACACGGGTCTGTTCATGGCCGGAGACATGACCACCAGAGCCTCGCTGTCACTGGACACGCCTCCATCCTCCAGCTCCCCTTCCATCATCTCCTGCCCGGCATCCCCAGCCCCTACCTCCTCCCTCTCTTCCTCCTCTGACTCCTCCTCTTCCTCGATGGGTTCTGGAATATCCATCTCTTCTGCAATGGAGTCTTCATCATAGTCATCGTCTGACCCACAAAAGTGGGGAAATTGGCCAAAAATCCGGAGGTTTGTGAGAAAGTATTACCTTGGTTTGAATTAATACTTTACAGGATTTGGAAGAAAAACTGCAAGAGTGCTCAACAGAACTCAAGAACTTTTTCTAGGGTCAAAAAATGGGTGCATAATTTCAGATAGGATTCATCTTACCCCCTGCCCCTGGAGCGGACGTGTCTCCAAACATGGTGTCGTCAAACTGCTCCGTCTTTCCAATCTGACAAACAAAATAAAATCCACATTGGTATGCACAATTTCAAATCCTGCAACTCCCTGTGACTGCCCCTCCTCTGACTAGAGAACACATTTGGTTATCTTTAATGTCAGAGGTGACTGCATTTGAACCAGATAAATTTCTAGCTGGGCCAATGTACGGCAGTCAGTCCCCACTGCACATCCATTAATTAACCCTCCATTAATTAATAAAGGTCAGTGCATGGTGCACCAACCATGGAAAAAACTGACAAGAAAAAAGCCAGTCTGTAACTGGAAATGTTTTTACAGCATCAGAGTATTTTCAGAAATGTACAGGTTTGGGGTATGTAGGGAAAATACTGGATTGAAATTCGGGCTATACTTCACAAATGACATTGTTTTAGGCTCGTGTTACACAAACCGTGGACTCAATGATGAAACTGACACAATTAACCTGACTTTATGAAAAGAACAATGCTGGCTAACACATGCGAATCGAGGAGTTTACATGAAGTGGAAAAAAGACTAAATTTCATAAGATTTCAAATTTCACATGAAACCATCAATGTTCTTTTAAAAATGGAATGAACTGCAGTCAGATGAGGTGTGATAACACAGAATGCAATCCAATGGGATGGGATGGAATGCGATAGGTAGGACTACGTCAGGTCAGGTCAGGTCAATTCAGAAATCAAAGTGTCACTGCCGGTGACATACCTTTTCCTCTTCTTGTCCAAACTCCTCTCTCATCTCCTGGGCAACCAGGTCGTTCACGTCTTCCGCCGAATTATCCACCTGCTCTTGTCTCTTGGACAACCCCTCCAGCTCACGCTCTACGTCATCCAGCACGGCGTCCTCTTCGCTGTCGAAGGGGCTCTCCTGGGCCGATGGGCCGGCAGCCTGACCGTCGACCTCCAGAGTCTGAGTGACACCCAGGATGGGGTTGGCCGGGTTCTGTCAGGTGGAATAATTGAGACCCTTGAGACCCTGATGCATGGTCTAGTTCGCTCCAAGATGTCTTGCTCAGAAATTCATCCTTTTCTCAGTCGGCATACACTTTGTACACAATGACCCCTTGGTGATACAAGCAGGGGATACTAACGATGTAGTGAACCTTCTTGGAATGCAAGATGTTGAAAGGTAACAATAGCACATGCCAAGCTATATACAAACTACGCCTTGAACATTTTTCATTTCAACAACTCCGATAACCATTCTTCTCAACTTTGTGAAGAAAAGAAACTTCCCTATCGTACATATATTCACTTTAACCTCCTTTGAAGCACTAAAATGCAGAAATGTAAACATTCTTGTTTTTATACTTTCACAAATTTCCATACTCATGAGCCAAACTATCTGTCATCCACAGCAGAGCAGTAGTGTCTCCATAGCTTTGCGCACAAGTTTATACCACATGTTTCTTGGCCTTAAGTCCTCTTTTCACTTCTTTATTACGTTATGCAGCTTGTTTTGGACAATAGTAATTGCAAACATTTCCTCCAAACTTTGTAGATGGGTAATCTTGAAGGATAAATCTTGCACTTTTTCTTCTGCTTTTTTTGACAAGGGGTGCCTTGCACGACAGAAGTAAAATAGCAATCTTGAAAACAGACTGAAGAAAGGATTTCCTAAGAATAAAACACCACCACCTTCTTATCACTTCCACTAAAAAAGAAATACTTGAATCTTGTTCGTATGGCTGTAACATATAGTAACATGCATGAAAATAAGTGATGCTGACGTTTCACGGTATACACTCATTTTCTTTAAATAATCTTGAGTGATAAAAAAAGGAAGGAGAAACTGTTCAATGTTTACTTGTGAATTATGTCCACATTGTGCACGATATTCAAACAGTGATTTATCCAAAATGAATACAGAAAAAAACGTGAAAAACAAAATTTGCTAGAGAGAAATAGACCTTATGACCAATTTTCCTGGGACCTGGTCAAAAGCAGGAACGATGTTTTGATCGTATCTCTTTTTCTGACTGTCTGAACACAGGGGACTCTGCAGTCATCACATTCCTTTTGTTTTCTGACGTTCTGCGTCAATTTTTACCTCTTGTGGTGGCGGTGTGACAGCAATGACGGGATTCTTGGTGGATTCAGCGGAGGACTTCCTTGGCATAGGCTCCTGCCATAGTGACAAATAACAGAGCATTTTAAGAGCTACTGTCAATTTAAGCCGTCACGAGAATTAACGAAACAAACCCTGCAATAGGATTTTTATGACTAAATACATGTAGCACAGCTTTCTTTACATGTTATGATAACTTTCCACCTACTTTGCCGAAGCAAAAGGGAGAAATCTTTAGATTATCGATAGAATGCTAATGAAGATTTCTATATTCATGAGCCAAAACTTGATGTCATTCAAGGCAGAACAGGACTGTCTCCACAATATCTCTGTACATATGGCTGTACAATATACATAGGACCGACTGCACAAGATGTGTGTCCACACTTCGCTACATTCCTTGGGGTATACATTCCACTTTATACTTGGTTTTAATGTTAAGCAGTTTGCTTTGACACTGTTTCTTCAAAACACTGTTGGTGGGTGATATTTTAAGGATTTTGTTTACACTGTTCTTATGCTCTTTTGCCAAGGAGTGCCTTGTATGACAACATCAAGATGGCGCCCGTGTGCAGATGTTGATGTCAGTATTTTGTAAGAATTGAAACTCCTTTCACTTCCAATGAATGCAAGTATGTAGATCTTGATTGTATTGTCGTAACACATAGTAACGTGCATGAAAAGAAATTGAGGGAGATATCCACTGCATGTTTCCTTTAATGCGGGTGTAGCCTCGCACTTAGAGTTTATGAATCCATGTAATGGGGTCGGAGGTTCGAATCCAGCTGCTGGTTACATCTTGTGACCTTGGGCAAGTCACTTTACCCCCCTACATTCCTCTAACTACACAGAAGTATATATGGGTACCTGTTGGGGCCGAGCCTGAATGCGTCCCGATAATGGATTCAAAATTGGTTAGGTGCCATGATAAACAGGTCAATAATCATAGCACTGATTGATAAATACTATATATCTGACTATAACAAACACAATCATGAAAAGAGCTTATTGTCACATTTTGGTGTCCTCTCGCTTTGCAAATAAATCTTAGCATTTCACGCTTAAAGATTCAAATTTTACCAAAGGCTGAGATGTTGTCCTCGGTCGAGGCAGGGGCCGAGATTTCTCTCCCCTCCTTTCACCCGCGTCCGCTTCCGTCGGCTGGCTTCCAGACCGCGGCCTAGGCATGGCAGGTGTGGAGGCCGCCAGCAGTTGTGGCTGCCTCGATGGGGTGGCCTCGGGTGCGGCTTGAGCGGAGACCGGCTTGATCGGGGGACGGTGCGCGACAACGGGTTCTGGCTTGGATGGGGTAGTTGGTGCAATGGGTGGTTTAGAAGCCTGAAATTGACATGTTATGAAGTTGGTCAACTCTTAACAGCAGTCTCCATGACACAATCCAGTACATAAACCCACAGCCTCCTCTCCAGCATGACTGATTTTGAGACTACTGTTTTTGTGAAACTCCACTGGTTAATATTGTTCACACCAATCCCACCAATGAAACTTGGGACTAACCAGTTTCACTATACAATGATGGCCCACAATATTCATTTGGTTTTGCGTCGGGGATATAAATCTTATGCAAGGTTTTCCCTTACAATGACGTATGTTAATTCACATTATATTCTCAGTGTTGTCCGAGTTGCGAACACAAATCACTAGCTTTCTCAGGTGGGATTTGAACCCACAATTTTGTGCTTACTACGATGTCTGCACTGGTAAACAGAAGTTGTGGGTTCGGATCCCACCCGAGAAAGCTTGTGATTTTTTTCGCAACTCAGACCACACCAAGAATACAGTGTGCATATATATGGCAGTTACAGGGCAAAACCTTACAATTGATGGCAGCCTACAATTGATGGCAGCCTTTTCTTACATAGTCAGTCTCTCAGTTGATTTTACAAGCGCAGAGTATTTTTCTGAATGGTGGATACAGAAGTCAGGGTTACCTTTGGTTTGCCTGAGGTCATCTTGGGCGCAAAGTACGTCGAGTGCCATTTCAGCACCATGTCTATGGTGCCATATACTTTGCCGTCGCTCTGTGGATATGAAACCATACAACCTAATTTGAAGTATTTGAAACTGAAGCAAAAATGAAGAAAATCAGAGAATAATGCCACAAAACAAGAAGTTTTCCCTTAGATGTACTGCCCAAGAGGAAGACAGTAATGAAAAAAACATACAGTGGAACGTCACTATACCGAACACCGCTATACCCAACACCGCTATACCGAACACCGCTATACCGAACATTCGGCTGTACCGAACATTGTCCTTGGCTCCCAATAATTTGTGCACAGAACGTACCGGTACCGAACACTATTCAGTTGCCGTTTGTAATTCCTGAACGCCAACATGATAAAACAATCGATGTTTTTTTATGTTGGAAAGTGACAAGTGGCCATTATTTTCCCAAGGATTAGAAGGGAAAGCCCCTAGTTGTCAATGGTATTGAACAGACACTGGTTTTGCGACTCCACATGATCGGCTGTGGAAGAAAACCGCACGTACGCACATGGTGGCATTGCACTAACAATAGTCTAAAGAGGGTACCACTGATACACAAATCAACCAAGATTTGCCACAGCATGCATCAGAGATCGATCCTGAGCGGTAGTTTCACGATTTTTAGGATAAAGTTGATATCAATTTTTTTGACTCAAGTTTAAATAAAAAACAAAAATAATTGACAGATACATTTCTAGAAACCTTGAACTTGAATGCAACAGCAAAACATCATGAAAACAGCGAACCAAGGTATCACAAGAGGGCGCACTTCAGTTAGACAAGAGAGGGCGCTATTCAACATGGCAACGAAACATTCGGCAGTTAAATTCACTATACCGAACGACCGCTGTACCGAACATTTAGCGTGGACCCCGTCTTGTTCGTTATAGCGGCGTTCCAATGGACAATTCATGATACAGTATGCTACCCAGAGCTCACCACAGAAAGGCCGTATTTCACAGAGCATTTTGTGAGACATGTTCAACAAATTCTATTCACCAGCTGCGCATGGGGAATTTAATTATTTCCGATGCTTCCTCAGTGTTTCATGAGATGTGAGGAGAAAACCTTGCCCAGGGTTCCTCAACAGCATGTGAGCTTGAAACCTCTGCTGTTTCAGGGTACACTCCACCAGCAAACTTGCTGAATCCTGTACTGCTACAAACACATTTCTTGCACCCTACTCCTTGAGCTCAAAGTTCCCCCCCCCCAAGTTGGTAAGTTGTTTCAAGACCTTCAACACGTGCTGTAATTCCCACAGTACACTGGCCAATCACACAGCCATATCGACTGACCTGTTTGAGCTCAAATGTTCCCCGGATGGCTTTGTCGTGTGCCAGGCTGATTAGCGGGATCTTTGCCACTCCGATGTACGCCATGTCCTCTGGGTCGGTGTCATCAAATATGTACACGTCCAAAGTCTGAAATCAACCACGGATAGAGAAGGGTTGGTTTTCAAAGGAGCTGCTAAATAGGAATGTGCTAAGCACATAAAATATTTGCTTTATACAAGCTGGTGGAATTAGGCCAAGGCTGTTTAGCTCTGACCAAATTTGGGAGATGACTATTGGTATTTATTGGTCCAGAGGGAACCATTCAGGTGAAAATAACTGTACATGTATCAGATGTCACTGAGCATGAACACCACGAGAGTTGCAGCCAACGGCACAATGTGAGTGACAATGGATATTTTATACAATAGTTCAGCTAGAGTCCTTGGAGTGTGCCTGAATTGCGCATGTGCACTGTTAAAAACAATTAAGTAGTGGTTTAACTATAGTTTGTGCCCTAACTCAACCATAGCTGGCTGCTTAGGATATTAGAAATGGGATAGGCCAAGAGAATTTTATCGACTCACGTCATTTTTCAGGTACTGATCCAACTCGGCAGTCATGACGACAGGGTAAACGTAGGAATCGTTAAACTCGGGAGTGTTACTGTTGGTCACTATGGTGGTGTCGTGATCGTTGAAATCAAAGAATCGATAGACGGCATAGGGGCTAGGCTGCACACCTGGTATGAATGTAGGAAAGTGAAAGTGCTTGTCTGAGGGAGATGTGTGGGCTGATAAACACCAGTCAGAGGCTATGAAACCCGGCTTAAACCAGTGACTTGGACAAAGGTTACTGGTAACGGGAGAACTGGCTCTCATGGCCAACAGAAATTTGAACCCTGCCATCATGTAAGGTCCTAAATGACGCCAGGTGCCCTCCTGTGCTGCCTACCTTCTCGGCGTGGCTTCAAGCCCGAACACCTCACCACCTTGACGGTCAGCTCGTTCAGGTTGTCCCTCTGCTGCCCTCGAGCGTCCTCGCCACCCACTGCTCCTGGCTGATCCAGAGTGGCCAAGGCCTGATTTGCCGCCTTGGTGTTGGACATGATGTAGCCCATGGCTTTCACTCTTTCCTATCACAAGCGGGAAAGAATTTGACATTCTCAAGTTTTTCTCATGTTCTGTCTTTCCTGTTTGAAACATGTTTTTTCACCCGTTTGTATATAAAACCTACACTGTTTATGTTTCTTCACCTGTCTGTTTATAACCCATGCCATTTGCAACTAATGTTTTTCAACTGTTTCTATATAACACATGCCGTTTGCAACTACTGTTTTTTTCACCTGTTTGTCTATAATCTCCATTGGATTTTCCAATTTATGACTTGAAAAAATGAGATGGAAAACACAAGAAATGCTTCAAAACTGCAGCAGTGAAAGTCAAATGCAGTGAGTGCACTGTTGTGCAGGATGTGATTTCAAAGCCACACATAAAATCTTAACCAAATCTTAACAAATTTCAAACCATCAAAGAAAAAAGCTGTCACTAGTTCATGAGTCATGCATGGGGGTAATTTTTTTATAAGTCATTCAAATTTCTTGGCGAATCGTGTCAAAAACATCTAGACCAACTGCACATGAATGAAGAAATGGCTCACTCGGAATAATCTCAGGGCTTGGTCCATGGGGACGCGGAGACGAACCCAGAACTCAATGGTGCCAAAGTTTACCCCGGCGCGTTCCAAACCTACATGTCAAAAGAGGACAGGTCAAAAGCAAAATTCCAAACTTAAATGCATTGCCCGAAAGACGGATGGCTATAATAAAGACAGGAATCAGACTGAACAGATGCCTCAACCGGGCAAGCTATGGGTTCAAATTAACCAAGGATGAACAACGCCAACAAGTGACCTGAGTATTGAAGAGATTATGCATAATGGCAACAGCTAAGTGTGAAGCCACACTCCCGGAAAAATCTCTGCAAAGTAGTTGAAACTGGCTATCCAAATGTAACAAAATAATCTCAGCCTGCCAGTTGACAGTTATTTTCTTGAGCTTACTTCACATTTGGTACAATCAGCATACCTCCTTGGGATCGTCGAAAAAGAAAAACTGTTTGCTAAAGAATCCCTACAAATACTTGTCAACCACATGTTACTGTCAAATAGTATGTTTGTCTATGGGTTCGTCTCACATTTTTTCAAACGTTTGAGATATAACGGTTTAAGAAGTTTCGTCATTCTCTTACATCTTCCCAAAGAAAGCCGTCATATTCACCAAGTGGCTTTGAATTAACAGGACAGAAAAAGTGTACTCAATAATCGAAACATCATTTAATGAACTGAGGAACTAAATACTTGCTGCACTCCTGATTGTAAAACATCTGTGTGGCAAATACCAGTCAGCTAACCTAGCAGCTGTTCTGTGCCGTGTAGTCGTCCGTGCGGCTTGTCCAGCAAGTCGCGGAAACGCAGCTGGCAGGCAGCGATGGTGCGGTATTCCGTCCCGATGGCCTGGTGCACCTCTAGGGTCGTAGACCCCTTCATGAGGTGCTGCAGGAAGAAGTCGTCCACTGTGACCTTGTACTGCGAGGTGAAGTCAAACTCCGGCCTGAAACGGCATTTAAATATGGATTCTGCAGTGTCATACTGGAAAAACTAACTGTGTAAAAGTCTTCGAAAACCAGATGCACGTGTACATGTACCTTCAAAAGTTTGGTTACTTTTGGGCAATTTGCATAAAAACTGGTCCACAGGCCAAATTTCGATTACGGAAGCATATAAAGATTTCAATCTCTACTCTTGTCAAGTGAAGAAAAGTTAAAATCATGGTATCCTGTTCAAATTCTGTATGAATCACTCTAAAAGACAGCCCTTGCAGTGTTCAGCTTAGTTATGAAAAGTGGCAGTAACACATGGGTAGGCCTACTGTCAAGAGGCCAAAGTAGGCCAGAGGTCAAGATTTTCGACCAAAAGTAATGCTGTGGCTGAACCTGGATCATTGTGAAGTAACACTGCCCACAAGTGGTTCCGCTATTTACAGTGAAGCTACCAACTCTTATATAAAAGGAAAAATCCTTTAAGCCAAAAGTAACCTCATCAAGCAATAATTTACCTACAATCTTAACTCTGAAATCTAGTGTCTTACCTCACTGTGCACAGTGAACTAAGACACTGGATACACAATGTCTACACAGCTGTGTACTGTAACATGTACTTCTTTTTACCACCTCACAAGACCACTTCAACGCTCTAAGAGCCGGGTTATTTTTACCCATCTCTCAGCTGGGGGAGGTGGGTGGATTCTCCTCCCTCCCCAAGAACGCGGCTTTGCCAAGCCCAATTTTTATGAAACTTGGCATGCATATACAGATATTCCTTACAAATGTGAAGTTTAAACTCAGTCAAACAGATGGTTTTGTTGTAACGGTCATCTGAAGTTCATGGCTACACGCGAGACAGTATATGTGCACTGAGCACCACTGTGGAAAACATATACATTTTTGACTGACCTGTCTCGGAAAAATGCGCTGGGCGAGAATGGTATGTTTGAATTTTGAAAAAATGGTGTCAAAATGACCACAAAGAGTTACTCTACACACTCGGCCATGTTGGAAAAAATACTGACAGATTCTGCCCCCTCCCCCGGGCTCTTTGGAGTTAAAAGCGCCCTCTTTCAGTCAAGCATGTCGAGCCACTGCCTTATACATCAATAAATGTTCTCACCTGTCTCCCTTGAGGATGGGCGTAGACTGCAGTTCAAACTCAAAGAACGCGTAGGTGACAAACGTTGAGGGATTTTCGTCCCCGAGGGCTTTCAGACCGTCTCTGCTGTACACGACCTGCAAATAAACCCCAGCAATAATGCCAAGCAATTGGAAGTTGCAGAGAAGAAATGAACTTATGTACATGTATGGACAATTCTAAGTTAGGTGCCTTTAACCACTTCACGATAATTGACGTGTAAATAAGCAAGGACTTCCTGTGTCTGACGAGGAAGACCATTAAGTTTGTTCAGGTGAATTCTGTATGTAGCATTGTGTGATGTCTATTCTCCTGCCCATGCTTGAGGGATCCCCTTTGTGTTTGTGCACACACAGAGGTTGCAACTGGTGGAGGTTGAGCATGTGTGGCGCCCTCCAGTGGCCATGGAGCAATTATGACTCGGCCACATTATCTCAGTTTCAAAAAAGGGACAACACAGTGAGAAACGTCACACAAACCTCAAACGAAATGACCATCTTAGGCCAGCATTTGTTAAGTCCAACTTTGTAAAGGACTGTGGTCGTGGGCATCCTGTCATTTGAAAAGTTTGTATTTTCAGCCAAAAGTAATACCACACCTGGGTCAAGTTCTCTGTGAAATAATATCATCAACAAGAGGTTAACTGACAGAATGAACTGCCTGAAAATGTATCCCGGTTACACATGTCCAGAATTTTTTTTAATAACAAGACATTTCAAAGGCCTGCTTTTCATAACAGGCTTTACTTTGTGGGTACCTGTGTCATTTCTGCTGAAATAAATCTGCTATTGTTTTCAAATCAGAGTAACTAAAATTTAGCGCCTACCTTTGTAATATGAAGTTCCAGTAGATTCTGTCCCCGTTCCAACTTGACAGTTTCATCAATCTCTTCATAATCTTCATCCTATTTGCAAAAATCAAGCGAAATTCAGCAAAATTCTTCCACACAGTGTAGGGTCTTGGGTTTTTTTTCAATAATGTACAGTTGCTTATGAAGGAAATTGAAAAGGGGACTCACGTCTGCAATGTCTGTGACCTTGTACTGCTTGGTTCCATATGCGACATCTCTCAACTGCCGCTCCAATTTCTGCAGTGAAAAAACAAAGGGACTGGCTTAACCTAAGCACATAAATATGCCGATGGATTTTTACTATGAAAGTTGGCGGCTTCATAACCTAAGGCGCTGGTCCAACAATAACCGTATGAAGCACACTCTGCTTGAAATGTCTTTCAAAAACATTCTTCGTGAAATGGAAGTTGCTCATCACAAGACATGAAAGGTGAAGACTACGAGAAGCGACAAAACAAGGGAAGAATAGAAAAGGAGGATATACTGATTAAAATTCAGTCTGACTAGTAGAGGCTCATGTTGTGCTTAAACTGGGATAGATAACAGGCACCTTGAAAAAAAAAGATACAAGCAGGGAATTTTTGGGCCAAGGCCAGCCGGAGAAGATATCTGTGGAATACATCATGAAAATAGCTATCAGGGTTCCCAGAGACATCCCAAAAGTGAACCCCAAATTCCACGACAAAGTCCATGACACTTAATGCCATTTGTAGAAAAATGTTACTTGGTATTTTGAACTGGAAGACTGCCACTACCACAGACAAGGGTATTTAGCCTTGAAGGTTATCGTCATTCTATTATTACATCAAAAAATCAAAATTACCCCTGCATGATTTAATTTCCATGACTTTTTTCTTCTGATAACAGGATTCCAGGGCACCCTATATTTTCCCAATTTTCCATGACTTTTCCTGTGCCTTTCCAGGGCAACTTCATTTTCCCAGATTTTTTTTCCCAGATTTTTTTTAAAAGATTCTTTCAGGACCGTTAGAACTCTGTCTTTTGGGAAAAGAAAAGCACATAGATGTGACTGCACGGAGAAGAGAACAGTTCACCCAATGGCACCACAGCAGAGGAACAGCTGAGAGATGAAAATGCATGATGACCAAATTTCTTGATGGGTTACCATCAAAAAGACAACGAAGAGCGGTCACAAATCTCATTCTCAAGTACCTTGATCCTAGCCGCTCGGATGTCCAGCAGCTGAGCGTATTCCTCCAGCTTAGTCTCATACTCTTGCTTGTACTCCTCGAGCCTTGTGGTGGCGCCCTCTACCTCGATCTGAAGCATGAACGGAAAGAAAAGAAAATCAGCTTGAGAGTAATAAAACAGATTCGTGTTTCTGGAAGAAAAACAACTAAAATCCCAATACTATCAACTCCAAGACAAACCTCAACACTAAAGAGTATTCTTCAATGCCATTTTGGGGGGAGGGTGTGGGGTGGCAAACTGAAAAGCTTGTTTTCGAACTCAAAAGACTGGATTTCACTGGCCCATTGATTTTGATCATCGCAATTCCTTAGTGGCCACAATTTCTTTTGGTCTGTGATCAACAATCTATTACTACCAGCAACATCATCCTTAACCACTTGCCGCTGGGGATTCCAGTTTCGGACACGTATTGTTTATACACGTGGCCAGACCGTACTTGTAACAAAAAACCAGGCTGCTGGGAACTACCAACATTTTTCACTCTCAATAGTGGAGATAATCCAGCCTTGTTTTGAAAAAGTATACCAAGGTTTGGGGCATTCAGTGCGAGTGGATTACCACCAGGGACAAAAGCGCTCCACCACTGCAGTGATGAGTCACAAAGTACCACTGCATACTAATCTGGCCCCTATTGAAAAGAGGTCAGCAGCAGCGCACTGTGCCAGTCTCATGAACATATGAAAATTACATAACTCTGCAAAATCTGGGCTCTTTTTACAAGGCGGCAGGCCTAGCTGAAATACTCCAACATCAACAGATGCCGTCTGTCAGATTAGAGTAGAAACCAGACAGTCCTTCGTGTGGGTGTAAGTGTCCAGTAAATGAAGATACGAATTTTTATAGAATTTTGAAAACAGAAAAAAAATGCTAATTATCCCATCCCAGCTTCATCAACATTGATAAATGCCACCGGTGCAAAGTGGATAATCATGTTTTGTATTCCAGAGAAGAACCAGATGTGTGGTGAAGTGGTCAATTCTCTGCCTAAATCCAGACTACCTACGCACCTGATAATCTTGGTTGATCTTGTGCTGCAAGATCAGCATGTTCCTGGTCTTCTCCAGCTCACTGACCGTCTCTGCGTGCTCAGCTTGTAGGGAAACCACCTGGGCCTTAAGATCTGCAAAATCCAAATAGGCAGCCAGGAGAAATGCATGACAGAATCACAGTCCAATGCAAGGCATTCTGTGCAGCACTAACAATTTCTCCCCAACAGTTCTTTCGGTCTCTGCCAAGGATGGATAAAGAACCATTTTGTTTTGATTTTTTTTTGGGGGGGTGGGGATTATTTTATGGGCTTTCTCAGGTGAGGCATAATTTGGGAATCTTTTAATGAGTTTTGGGGGAAGGGAATTAAATGCTCCTAAAAATCATTCTCTTGTTATGCTATGGCCCCATTTGCCTTCCCAAAACCACTAGATGATTTCTGCTGATGGGGGCGGGGTAATATTGTAAAAAAAGGGCTCCAGATGCATGTTGTCCCCAGTCACAACTCCCTAAAAGGGGTTTTTGCTAGAACTCCTCTGCCAAGCTTGAATTAGCAGCTACTCTAGGGGAAACCGTCCCTGTGAAACACAACCCAGCAGGTCAACTGTCCCAACAAAAAGTCCTGGAATATGAAACTGCCAACCACCGGAGGATCCAACAGTGACACCAATCGACTGGACTGGTTCCACAGTCTCATGGTTAGCAGGTATGATGCTTTTGTTGATTAACCGTTGCAACAAGGCCTCTCCGAAATTTTAGCACCTGCCAAATTGAATTTGCACACTGCATTGTTTTACTTGGCAGGACTGGGGTTAACAAATCACCTCAGTAAAGAGGTATGTTTGAGGTATAACCGACAGATACCAACCGTTGTTCATCTCCTCATCCACTTTCTCTAGAAACTCCAGATTCTGACTGCCTTTCTCTTTTCGCCTCTGAAAAACAGACAAAGTACTTACGAGTAATAATGGCAATTTCCAAGGATGGATTTGTGCTGGGAAGATGTTAATTAATTTTTACCCTGTCCAAATTGTACATTGGCAAATTGTATATCCTATCCAAGTAATAAGTCTATCAAGCTGCCTGTACCTTTTGACAAGATAAGAAGTATTCAGAGGTGCTCACAAAGACAAGAAAATTCCAGATTCCACTATAAGAGCTCATTTTAATTAACAAGTGCACTTGTGGATAATTGAAATAATGATGAAGTAACATTTGTGGTAGATTCTCAATAGAAAAAAATTACCAAAAATCTACTCACAGTTTTTGCCACGAACAATACAAAGCCACTTTAAAAAGAATACTTACAGAAAAAAATTAACTATATTGTACGCAATATATTTTCTCACTGCAAGGCAGATGTTTATTTCTAGATGAAAATCAGTTAAAGCACAGAGATAGATGTAGGAGGAACTCTGCCCACCTTGACGATGATCAGAGCCTCTTCCAATTCCTGGAAGTCCACGGCACTCTCTCTGGTGAAGAACTTCATCTTTTCCTGCAGCTCGTCCAGCTGTGATCGTACCTGGTAGTAGTTGATCTGCTGTTGCTGGTTCTCCTTGGACAACTTCTCGTATAGCTCTGTATGATGCAAAGAACAAAGATGACCAAAGAGAGAAGAGATTTTGGATCTTTCTGGGAACTGTTTAGCTGTTGTTGCTGTTGTTGAGATTTTGATATAGGCACAAATCCGAGTCTCTGCACAAAAAAGTTGAGCTGGAAAATATTCAAGTACTGGCAACGCGGAGTGCTGCAAACCCAGGATGAAATAACGGTGTTGGAAATTACCTCGCTCCTCGTTGAGTTTATCCAACAGGGTGTTCTTGTCATTCAAGTCCCCCTTCAGGGTGGCCTCCAGCTGAGCAATCTGCAGCTTCAGCTGCTTCTCATTGGCTCGGTACTGCCTTTCTCTCTCAGCATCAAATGCACTGGGGGGGGCAATATAACATGAAACACCCAATGTACATTAGTCAACATACAATCTCCAGCAGGGCAACATTCAATGACACACCAGAACTTTGACCCGGAAGAGCAGAGATTAAAAAGGATCACATTTATTTGATCCTTTTCATACCTTCATTTGTGACTCCCATGCTTAGAAGCATGACATAAAAAAGGTTGGGTACAAAAAAGTAGGCATTATACCAAAATGGTAAACTCAAAAAATTCAACAAAAAAGTTGCAAATGCTCTGATACGTTAGACTGAACTGGACTAAAGTATAAACATTTAAAATCCATTATAAAATTGTTAACATCTATTGATTTGTCATTATTCTGGCCAAATAAAGTTAGACTAACCTGTTCAAGAGTTTCTCATTGGCTTCCTGTAAAATAATCTTCTCATTCTCAACACTGCCGATTCGCTCTTGGAGCTGAAATGAAGATGGAAAACACAAATAGGATAACTAACTTTTGTTTTAGCAATCTCATCAGATCGGATCAGTGATTCTACCCGAAAGATCTTTTTCACCAAAAGCGGCCAAAATTTAAAGAGGCAACCCTGGCCTTGACCCCAATCAGTTGTCATAGCCAAATTCTTCACAACCTCCAGCACGTCCATCAAAAGTCTACTGGAAGTTATCCACTCTGAAGCCCAGTCACATGCTATTCACATGAACACAGACAAAAAGCATTAATTTGTCAATGGTCATATTGTTACCTGACTAAACATGTGAAAGGACTTGCAGGACTCAAAGTACAAAAAGGCTACTGCAGCTGGTAATAGTGAGGAATTCGATAGTTTCATGCTGAAAGATTATTTTTATGGGGAGGCTGCAGATTTTGATCACTGCTCCGGTGAAATGTCTTTGATACGTTGAGAGGAAATGAATACCTCCAGGATGGTTCTCTGTGATGTGCTTGACTCTTTGACCTCACTCTGCAGTGCCAGCACTTTGCTCTGCTCTTTCTGGTACACCTTGTTGAGCTGCTCCAGCTCTGAAAGGACAGCATCATGACTCTTCTTCACCGTCTTCAGATTCTAGACGGGAGGAAATAAGGGAAAAGACCTTGATTTGGGATATCGATGATGGGATCAAGTCCTATTTTGGAAGGGGCTCTTTTGGAAACTTTGTCAAACAAAATTTGGAGCACACAATGGAGTATACAATTTAGCCCTCTTGAGGTCAAAGCATACAGAGTTTCTGCTAGGGGTGATGCTTTCCATTAAGTTGTAAAGAAAAGACTGAATAGTGAACTAGGAAAGCATCCTTTGTGAAAATGTCAACAGCATTAGCCCTCTCAATGAACTGTGCATAACTGAATCTTAAACTCAATGCTACAACCCATCTTAGAGCAGTGGGATGCATTACGGTAACCTCAAAGAAACCATGCACGATTGCACAGCCAATATAACAATTCAGAGCAATTGGTGAAAAGAGTGTCTCGCTTTCGCATGGAAATTTATAGCTGGCAGAACTGACCTCTTCTAAATTAGCAAACTGAGATTTGAGGGCCTCCAGCTTGGTGGATTTCTCCTTGACTTCCCTCTGCAGACGGATCATCTCAACATTCTCATGAATGTTGGTCCTGACAGCAATGAACGGCAAGATAGCAAGTTTATCAAAAGCAAGAAACTGACCCAGAGTTAGAATCTGGTCACTTTACAAGTCAGCGCTCAGTCAACCCTCAGTTTGAATTAAACTCCTGCTCAGGAGTAAGGTTACCATTGCGGAAGTGCGCAATAACAAATGGGTACCGAATAACAAATGGGTTTCTCTGGATAGCTTGTGACTTGACTCGAGACAGGATGACCTCTACTGGAAGGTGATGGCCTGTTGGTGACTTGATTTCAACTCCGAGGCAAGTAAAATGGAAGGCAGATGTGCTGAGGACTGTGCAAATAGCCAACACCAGACCAGAATGTATTTGTTTTCATCCAAATTGGGGTCTACAATCTACTTTTCCCGCACATGTCACAGGTTCCACGCAGGGACACAACTGTTATCAAAATCGATTTGCCTATTTGTGAACTTGGCTACCAGCAAACCAGCAAAGTTAGTTGGCAAGGGTTATCAGAGTCTTTGGGCTCATGTCTGGGTGGTTCAGGGTTAGAATGCAACCAATTATTATCAACTGTCAAGTTTGTTTGACTGCTCAATTGGACTAAGCCTGGAGAGAGTTCAGTCATGTATGGCTAGACAGCACTAGTCATTGTGAACAACTTGGTCACTTGCAACAACTGAGTACATGTATTCCACAGTGCACCGATGGCAGGTAAACCATAAAGCAACCGTCTCCATAAACACCCGTTGTTAACAATCTCTACATGTATATCCCAAGACTTGAGCATCAAGTGGGAAGATGCAAGTGGCTCTTAACAGAAGTTGTGATGACAGAAATTAGACACACAAATAACAAACTCAGTGCAGAATGTGATGGAAAGCAGACAAGCAAATGGTGGTAGAGCAAGTGCCATTCCGCTTACAAATTCTCATGAAATGGTGCATGTATGCTATTTGCTGTACACACTTCCAAGCTGTCAGCACCAGCCAATAATGTATAAGATACCAAACATAATGAGAGGGGTAGGTACAGGTAAGATGGGGAGACGTTTCAATGATTAGTTTTACATGAGTTGGAAGGTGGGTAACATGAGGGATGGGTGGGGTAGAATGAGGGTCACGGGTGAGAACATGCTCAATGATTTTCACAGCACAATCGGCCATGACGCAGATTGATTAATCAAGAAATTGTGCAGGAATTACACAAGTTCATGAAACCACTGGAGGACTACAGCATTCACAAGGTTAACCTTTGGCGTGTGTGGGGTTAATATTAACGTGCAACTCATCCAATCCAAAGTTACAAGTCTTGCAAATTGTATTAATGTAAAAAAGACTGATTCAAAAAAGGTTGGTCACCTCTTGTATCCTCTTACATAAAATTCTGGGAATGGCCAAGAGAGGGCGTTCTGATACACAGCTTGGGCTAGTAGGCAGTAAATGCATGATTGAGTTTCTTTTCAACATGTGCAAACACCTGTAAGGTTTTGCAAGTGGGCAACCAGTGTTTTATAATGTTTGGGATGTCTCTCGTTGTCATCGCTGCAGAGGACACTCGCGAATGATGTCTGGGGAGAGTAATTCAATTTCCAAACACTGTATCCAAGCTAGGGACAGTCCATAATATCGTACGCATGAAATGCTGATTTTAAGACCTCCTCCCGTGCACATGGTGTACGCAGTGGCTCCAACCCCCCCTCCCATATGCATACACATTCCACAATTCCGGAGGAAGCAGCCAGTCTTTCTGTTTTGAGTTACGTTGCGGTTGGCATCGGAGGAGAATTAGTGGGGTGAACGGTGGAGGATACTGTTTTGGAATTTTTAATGCACAAAAGCTGATTCTGGTATTTATTTGCATGAGAAAGTGTATTGATACGATGAAGATTCATAAAAGGCAAATTTTTGGTTTGCGTACGGTACGCACTGGCTTGAACCCCTCCTCCTTCTCTGTACGTATGGTGAATGCAACGGCACCAATCCCCTCCCCCCTTTCGTCTGTATGTCCTTTATGGATGGCCCCCTACCATTGTAGCATGTCTGCACACACTTTGCCACTTCAAACGCTGAAATTTAACAGAACACAGTACCCTGCAAATGTAAAAATCAGCATGAGATCAGTTCACCCCTGCGCGTAAACATTGGTCTAATGAATGAATGGCTTCAGTCCACCTTCAATTGTGGATACAGTAATAACAAAATGCAAAAAGAGGAGGTTTGCAGAAGTGGTGAGTCACGTATATTGTCTAAAAAAGAATGAATTGACATGAAGGCTGAAATAATGGGTCCCAATGATCCCAAGTGGAGAGCCAGGCCTCTGGCCATAAATGGCTAACCCAGGGCTGTCAGTGACGAGTTATTACCCAAATATAAATATAAAGATAACCAAAATAAATCACACCATTCGTGCAGATACATATAATCATGCTCGTTGGGTTAAGGAGGGCATGGGAGGCGTGTGGAAAAATGATGGTGCAGTGACGCTCGCATCTCACCGTATGCTACATGGAACTTACTTTGCAGTGTGCCTGTTGTCATGGAAACAGACGAAAGACAAGGTATGAAAAATCAAGTGACAGAAAGCAAATAAAATTCTAAATTGGACAGCAAATATTCCAGTCTATTTTGTGGCAGTTTTTTGCCGTGTTCTAAGCAGGGAAATGTATTATTAAGTACTATATATGGACAGCAAAGGTGCACCCTGGGGGGTCCCCTCTGGGACACGAGGCCCTCCCAATAGGGTTTCTCTGGTTTGGCTCATTGGCTTTTTGAAAACATAGATTTGCTATACATCTACATCTTTAACTATTAGCTCTGACATAACCATACAATCCTAAATCCCAGTTCTCTGTGATGCAACTGGGGATGGGGGACTTGAGCATCATGAGCTATTTGGGAGGGAGGGAGTTCCAGTCTGATCCCCCAAGCCCCTAACAACAAATCCTGGGTGCACCGTTGAGTGAAAGTGCGTACAACTTTGGAGCACTAATGCTAAGATAATACGAGTTTGACACTAATGGTGAATAGGATGAAATGGTAAAGATAAACAAATATCCTGACTGACCTTTGACCCGCCGACATCTGTTCCTTCAGTCTCAGCAGCGTTTCATCATGCTCCAGTTCCTTGATTCTCACCTGGACAAATATTTATGAAAACTTTTTCTCACTGTGAGCTATTTCGAGCACAAATACAAGAGGACTCTACGGCGATTTCAAATGCAGTCGAAAAACTGCAGAAGGTGAATCATGAAGACATGCTAACTTTTTAGAAGCAGACATTGAAACACACATGTAATGAGGCAAGCTGTGAAATTAAGTATGAAACAAAAGAAATGAATTCAAGACGCTAGCCAATCTTACTAAGCCATCACCTGTTCAACTGAAATTATCAATTTCACATTGTACAATGTTATCATGAGTAAGGATATGAGAATTAAGGCTACCGGTACCTAGTTGACTGAGTACTTTGAATCGCCAGGAACATAGCTGCGCAAGTTAACCCTAGCCTTCCCCAACCACACAGAATTAAAC